TTTGGTTTAAATTGTGCGAGAGTTCGTATATTTAGAAGTCAGTGACGGTGTTGTCCATCCATCCATCCTTCTTCTAACACGCTTATTAATCCCAAGTGGGATCGTGAGGGGTGCTGGTGCCTATCTCCAGCTGTCAATGGGCAAGAGGCGGGGTACACCCTGGACAGGTCGCCAGTCCATCGCAGGGCAAGACAGTGACCACTCATGCAAATTTAGAGAAACCTATTTACCTAACAGTCACATTTTTGGACTGTGAGAGGAAGCCAGAGTGAACCCACGCATGCTCAGGGAGAACATGCAAACTCCATGCAGAAAGACCCTGGGCTGGGAATTAGACCCAGAACCTTCTTACTGCAAGGCAGCAGTGCTACCCACTGCTCCAGTTAACAGCCCATGACGGTGTTGTATGTATGATAAATGGGATGGTGTCAATGCAAAAATGCCTAAATTCCCAGTCCGAGCCTGTGCAGAGCTACATGAGAATGTTTTACATCAAAGCATTTTTTTTTCTGTGTTAAAATGAAAAGTTGTTTTGCAAAGAAAATATTACAACAAATTCAGTCTCCACAAACACAAACTAGGTGGAGAGACAAATTCCTCAAATTTCTGCTTTAAGGTGCTGCATAAAAATGCATGCCACACTTTTTAGATATTTATCTTAATAAAGTTTCCTGGATTATTTCCATTTCAACTTGGAGTTTATATTGAACATTATGTATATTATATCTGTAAGACTTGATAAAAGCACATAAAAGTGTTTGTAATGTGAAAAAAGTTGAGTATATTTGAAGGTGAGGACCGCTTCCAGCTGTCAGCCCAGCCCAGAGAAAGTAGGCTTGGCTCCAGGCCCAGTAGGACAGACCGGTTCTCCTGCTCCCGCTAAAGCCGCCATGGCTCTCAGCCAACGGGGGAGAATCCGGAAGTGACGCAGCGCGCAGCCCGCGGAAGACCAGGGACTGGCGCGCCAAATTTCAAAGCACTTCCTCCCGGACGAAGGCGACAGTCCGCATTGAAAGCCCCTCAGAAACCTCCGCGGAGCCACGAAGACATGAAAATAATCCACCAAAGCAGCCCCAGCGGCGGTGTGAGCGGGAAGGTGTGAGCCGGAGGCCTGGAGGGAGCTCCATCTGCGGAGGAACCAACAGGAAGCCGCAGTGAAGGTCTGTCATTGTTAGAAGCTCAGCCTCTGACTCTCATCCTAACGAGGAACTACAGACAGCGAGCAGGAGCCGCTCTGCGGCCGCTTTCTGCTCTATAATCAACCCGATCCGCTGGAAAAACTCTGAATCTGAAGGATTAAATATAAACTGTTAGGAAATAAACTTATTGAAGGTTTTAGATTTATATAATTCTTCCAGTTTTCGCCTCCTGCTTTGTGCGCTGATCCCGTGATTTGGCAGCTGGAGCTCGAAGCACTTCTGCTTCTCAGGCTGCAGCTTCTGTTCCTGCAGATCAATGAACTGGATGGTTGTTTTTCTCTCATTAGTTATCAGCTGAAGTTCAAACAGACCCATAATGGATCCCTTATACACACATTTATACCGCAATTAACTTTAATTATGGCTTAAAGATGATAAAAACCTCACATCCAGTTTCTTAAAACAATTGTAGTACAGAACAGTGTATTGCCTCATCAGTGGGAAGATTGCTGACAGCCAAACAGTCACTGACTTCCTCCCCAGAGAGGATGAGACACTTTAAGGCCATTGTTAGAGTGCTGTACCTATAAATATCAATGGAAAGTTAAGTGGAAGGAAGAAGTGCTGCATAAATAGGTGCATAAGCTTCAGGTATAACTTTAGTTTTAAGGAGGCGAGGTGAGACTGCTTGACTTAAGGGGCTGGTTATCCTCCCACAGCAGTGTGCTGCAGTGAGATTGTTGCAGATACTTTCGATTTATGCCCAGAGGTGTCAAGTAACAAAGTACAAATACTTTGTTACTGTACTTAAGTACACTTTTTAATTATCTATACTTTACTCCATTACTTATTTTTCTTCCTATATCTGACTTCTACTCTTATATTTTCTTAGACTTGGACAGATTTTTTTTCATTTTGTTTACACGTGTACAACAAAAATAAATTTTATATATAAATTTTATCATTTTTAAAAGTGCAGTTTTGAAAAATAGTAAAAAGGACAGTTTTTTTTTTTAAATATAATCATAAAATGTAATAAATAATACAAGTATCTGTATTTTCTATTCCTTACATTTTTAAAACAAATACTCGTTGCTCTTGGCTTCGGTTTGATGTTTATAAATATTTATTTCCCGTCATGTGCTCCATCCAATGCAGATCATTGGCTCCATCCACATCTAGTGAAAACTAGTGTGATTGGATGAGTCATATAACACAAACACTCATTGGTTAACTAAAGGAAATCATCAGAAGCAAGCAGGTGTTCTTCAAACTGCTAACGTGAATTGTCTATGCCATGCTACAATGTGGGATTCAGAAAAAGATGTTGAAATGTCTGAAAGGTCGGCGAGAGTGTATCGGGAGACGGAGACGAACAAGACCTCCCTCATCCTTGGTCCTATCCCAAAGAACTTTCCAAAATAGTTGCAAAATTGAGCTTTCATCATATAGTGGCATCTGGCTGTTTTTTTTAATGGTTACTTTATACTTTTATACTTTAAGTAGTTTTTGAAGCACATACTTTTTCACTTTTACTTGAGTAAAGAGGTCAAATTGATACTTTAACTTTTATCAGAGTGTTTTCAATCTGCAGTATCTATACTTCTACTTAAATAACAAATGTGTGAACTTTTGAAGCCACTGTTTATGCCCAAAAAGGGTCCCAGCGTTCTGCCGCACCTCGTTCTTCTATCTGGTCCATCTTCAAGAGTCGTTTTTCACAATGGCGGTCATACAAACAAAAAAAGGCCAGTAAGGTACCAAACAGGAAGTACACATAGCGTAGAGCGGATGTAGATTTGACCAATCAGATGCCTCCTGTCTGCGGTCACCTACAGTTTGGGAGAGGTGCAGCAGAGTCTGTGGAGACGCAGATGACTTATTTTACAAAGTATAAATCAGCCTTTAGAGCTTCATGGCCGACTGTCCAGGATGTGAGCTAAAACTGTCTTCTGAACCATCAGAAGCATCTTACCTGAGACTAGAAGGAAAAGGACCAAAGTGGTCCATGGTAGAGGAGGGAGGGACTGAATCTAAGCGGTCCGTGAACCTTTTCAGCTGCTGGTATCGGTCCACTACTTTCCATCAGAACCAAAGCTTGTTTACTGATGTACCCTAAAATTCCTGCGTCTCTCTAATAATCTTTATAGAGATGCTGATTTCATCCCAGACCACCAAATTTACCCGTACCTGCTGGAATGATCATGGTATAAGCTGACTGTCCAGCCCAGCCTGTCACCATGACGACGATAAAATATCCCAGCTCCTCAGACAAGCTGAAGGCCTCATCCTGTCGCCTGTGTGACATTTTCCTTCCATTCAGTTTTCAGTTAATATGTTTACAGGATCCGATTTATTTATGTTTTTATTCAACCTTTATTTAAGCAGGAAAGTCTCATTTAAATAATTAATCTCTTTTTCAAGGGAGTCCTGGTTAAGAGATCACAGCAACAGAATACATCAGATAATTTCATAAGACTAGAAGCAATCTTCATTTTATTGCCAGTTATTGCCACAACGACAGTAACTGGGCTCAGTTATTTTCATTTGTTTTTATTATCTTTAAGCCATAATCCTCATAATCACAATGAATGTTTTGATCAGACGGGCACCGATCGGACGACCCCAGTTTCCTTTTACTGAGCGATCAACAATCGACCAATACTTCCAGATAAAACTGATCTTATCGACCATAAAAATCAGCCGCAAAACAGTCAAAACTCTAAACTTTTTCGTTCTATTAGAGGGCGACGCCTCATGTTCAGTTAAGACGTCTGTTTAGTTTAACAGATATTGATTCATGTCTCCAATAAAATAGATAATTAAAATTGAAAAGATCAATCAGAATCAGCAGGTCTGAGGATCTGTGATCGGCAAAAACGTTTGAATCGGTGCATCAGCACTATAAATGTTTGGTTCCAACTTTTTAGACTAATTTAGTGCAACACGTGAATTAATTAGTTCTCTTATTGACTGACATTTGTCTCTCTGGGTGTTTTTTTTTTTTTTGTAATTCAAGTTTTTATTGAATTTTTCAATTTTTAAAACATAAACAAAACAAATAAAATTAACAAAGAACAAAACAGTGAGGTTTAGTGCAAATCCTTGTTTTGCTGCCCTAAAGTCCAAATCAATTTGTAGACGTATATGTGCAAAAACTGTCCCATTGTTGCATGGCTGCTTCGTTATTAGAATGTATTCTTCCCAACATTTTTTCCCAAGCAACATATTTTCAGTCATTTTCTCGATCTCTCTGGGTGTTTTTAATGCCTCTCTGTATTTTAACCCATAATGAAGCTTTATGTCTGTAGTACTGGTTATATATTGATCCTGAAACATGTTTTAATTTGATGTTTTTCTTTGTTTTCTTGCAGATCAATCCGCTTCTTCAGCCTCGCTGATTGTTGCCTCCATGATCATCTTGCTTTAAAGATTAAAATTAATCCATTTTAAAGTGAAACTCCCAGCTGCAGAGTTTTTCGGCAGGTTGTACACGGCCGCTATCCGTCCAGCTAGTTGGACGCTGTGACGCACCTGCTGTCCGCTTTCACTCGGCTCTTTATGTTTGAACTCACAGCCTTTTAGTCTCCTCTCCACGGGGGATTTGATCTGTTTAAGCCGCTTCTCATAAAGCAGAGCAGGAGCTCGTTTTCTCCGTCTTATACAGTGCTCCAAATCCTCATTACTCATTCATTTATGCGCAGCATGACAGCAGCTCTGCATACTAATGGTAGCACCTGTTGCTGAGAGCTGCTCCACCTGCCTGTGACCTTCACACGGACGTTTTCATCTGCGGTCGGCTGTATGCCGGCTGTCGGCTCTCCCTGTTTGTTGGCTGCTCTCCACTAGCTCTGAGGCGTATCTGGAAATGGAGCGCGGCCTGCTGTAACTCAGGGCCGGTCACAGATCAGGGGCGGCCTCAGTGTGTGGGAGGGTGGCATTGGATCAGAGGCTGCAGCCATGCTGTCCGGGGCGCAGCCGTGCTTCCAGCTGCTGCGGATCGGCCTGTCCACGGGCGACTCGGCGAGGGATCTCTACACCTTCCGGCCGGCGCTGACCCAGTCCGTGTTCCGGCTGGGTCGGGCCGCGGAGCTGTGCGACGTCACGCTAGAGTCGAACTCGGTGTCTCGCATCCACGCCGAGCTGCACGCCGAGAAGGAGGCGAGCGGAGGAGAGGGGGAGTCGCTGCAGCAGGAGGAGGGCTGGAGGGTCCACATCAAAGACAGGAGCAGCCATGGTGAGACGGCAGAGGCGTCACACTCACCTGAACACACCTGAACCGTCAGTCAAGATCAAACATGCCCACAGGAAAACACACCCAGATACAGGAAATACCACATCTACACAGACGGCAGGCAGGCTCTGCTAACACAGAACAATTCACTCCTCCTTTGTCACATTACAGATTATTTCACTGGAATATAATCTAACAAGGCTGCAGAAAGTGGAGCATAACTGTTAGTTGGAAGGGGAACAATTCTTTGTTTAATTTCTTTATGAAAAACATCTGAAAAGTGATTTAAATATAGTTTCTACTGCAGCAATTATACCTTTCTGCAATAAGATCTGATTGTTCTTTGAAGGCAACAGGTTTATTGGAGAATGTTAGAGAACAAAAGCTTAAAAAACAAAGAACCCAACAGACAGGATAGAAAAGAGGTTACTGAGAAGTTTTATAGAGGATTAGATGCCAAAAAGTCTTCAAACAATGAAACTTTTCATCCATTATCTGAGTAGGAAGTTTTGCATCACATCAGATCTAAGCAGCGGTGTCTAGTTAAGCCGGGCCCCATAATTAGGATAACAGCATGTCTCGGTGAACACAAACATCCATAATTATCAACCATCTTTAATGGTTTGATGTCTTATAAATAATGATTTCAATAATATTTCTCTCTTACAAGAGCAGGCGGTCGATGGAGACGAATTATAAACAATTTCAGGGCAATGGTTTCACAATTTTCACCAATTCAAGTGATGTTATGGGATGAATCCCAAACCGGCCCCTAAGCACTAACTAACCCTTCGCTCGCAGGTTCCAGCGGAGGGTCAGCCACATTAGGGCCATCACAAACCACGTAGTGGGTGGGGCCACACGACATCCAGGCCTTAAATAGCGCTAAATCAGTGCAGACTCGCTGGAATTTGGCAGCAGGTGTAACGACAAATTGCTAGCGGAGGAAACGCGTGCATTTAAATATAAGTTCCACTGGTTTGATAGAAAATCACAAGTCAGGAAAAAAAAAAGACATTATTCATCCCTAAATGGAAGGTTTTCTTTTAGTTTTATTTGACTGGTTCGATTTTTTTTTTTTTATCTTTAAGAAAAAAATTGCCACATGTTTGATGTTATGTTAAACTGTGTCACAGAGCTACAACAATGCACATGCAGCATCACTGTGTTGCCATAGGAACGACTGTTTTCCTTTTCCGCTGGAGGGAAAAGGCCGTCCCAATCACGTTTATACGCCCCCACCTTTAATCCAAGCGCCTTCCACAGCTGTGAGTGTGACTTTATTGCGAGTGACACTTAATAGTTAAGGGTTATTGGTTAGGGGGCGGTTTGGGATTCAGTCCTGGACGTTAGCAAGAGTTATTGTCTGGAAAGTTTAGTTCAACCTAAAAGTTTTCTGTAATTAAAGCAGAAGCTTAATTTGTTGTCTCTCATTCTAAGTAAATAGATCTCAGACTTTTTATTTCATTCATTCAATATAATCAGATCAGATCAACAGTTTCATGCATCAACACCATATAAAGATTCATTTCCTATTTATTATTCACAACCAGCCTTAGTTGTGCAGACTGACGTGTTTAAATGCAAAACTGTCATAATTTAAGTATTTAATATGCAGCTCAGTCACATCTAGATCTGTTATAAAATATCTACATTTAATAGATGATTTTCATTTTCTTTTATTACCAGGATGTCTGTCATCACAATTATTCCACTTTGTTATTAAAACGTCAGAATATATGAGCATCTCCTGGATCGTTATCAGGTGGCGTCAAGTTAGATGAAGCTGATGGAGAAATGATCCGTTTGCTGCTTCAGGACCAGCTGGAGGTTCATAGTTAGACCTAAAGAACCGGAACAGCTGGTTTATTTAGGATTTAAAAACAAACTTTAAAATCATCTTATGTCTTTATTGCAGATCAAGTGCATCTGATGGCGATTTTTAAATTTCTTTTTAGTTCAAAGAAAAAGATTTAGTATTTTGATGGAAAAAGACCCCAGTTTTTGTTTCTAGCAAATAGTTCTAGGTTTTTTTTACACTTTGCAAAATAAGCAATTTATTAATTAAGAAAAAAATATTTGGTGTTCTTCAAGGTTTAAATTGAAATTCATGTTCAAAAATTATATTTTTTCTATAAATGTGGTTAGGGCCTCTGGGGAAAAAAAAGTTAACTGATTTTTAAATTTAATTTCAGTTTAACTCGGATTTCCGATCTGATGTGATGAAAAGTTTCATTATTTGAAGACTTTTTGGCATCTAATCCTCTATAAAACTTCTCCATAACCTCTTTTCTAACCTGTCTGTTGGGTTCTTTGTTTTTTTAAGCTTTTGTTCTCTAACATTCTCCTATAAACCTGTTGCTTTCAAAGAAAAATCGGATCTTATTGCAGAAAGGTATAACTGCTGCAGTAGAGACTATATTTAAATCACTTTTCAGATGTTTTTCATAAAGAAATTAAACAAAGAATTGTTCCCCTTCCAACTAACAGTTATGCTCCACTTTTTGCAGCCTTGTTAGATTATATTCCAGTGAAATAATCTGTAATTTGACAAAGGAGGTGTGAATTGTTAGTGTTATCTCAGAATTCTGGCTTTTTTCTCAGAATTCTGACTTTTTTCTCAGAATTCTGACTTTAATCCCAGAATTCTGACAGCTAACAAACATGTTAGCATCAAGCCATAGCCATGTCTGTTTTAGAGACTAGCTCTCTTGTTTTAATGACCTTCTGCTCCTCCATTAATGAGGCGACCCCTCTGGCACGTAAAAAGTTGCCTAATTCCATCATTTTCCACCAATGTGTCACTGGCCACCTCAAACAACTCACATCTTTGTCAGTGAAGCTGAGTGCTCCACATCTCTTCCTTCATAGTGCCCATCTACATTAAGATCCACAATTCTGAGATTAAAGTCGGAATTCTGAGATTAAAGTCGGAATTCTGAATTTTTTCCTATACTAAATTGAAATAAAATTTTAAAATCAGTAAACTTTTTATTTGTATTTTTTCCAGTAGCCCTAATCCTCTTCCATACTTCTGTCTTCTTCTCCTATTGAACTTATTTAAAAGTCAGAACCTTTGAAATTAGATTAAAAAAAATATTTGAATTTTTTGTTTATTTACCGGTATTTTTCTTCATGTTTTGACAGATACATAATTTATAAAATGATCTGTCACAGTTGGATGGTTTAAAAATGACTCTTAAACAGGGTCTGGATTAAAAAACAAACTAATCTTAGATTTTTTTTTTTACTTTTTAAAGAAATATGATAAAATTTTAAGAAAATGTTTTTGGTGCAATCAAAAAAATCCACCTTTGATATAAAGATAAAAAAAAGAAGTTTGAACTTTTAGTATTTTCTTTTTAACAACAAATATTGATGACTTCTATGTTTAGAATAATTAATAAAAATAAATAAAACACACGTTTGAGTTTCATTTAAAGCTGCATCTTTGATTTTATCAAAAAAGTAGTAAGTACAACAAACTTGAATCCAGTTTTTTTTTTTAAAAAAGTACAAATAATAACTTTTTTTAGCACCTTATGATTGGATGTGTGTTTGGTGGTTTTCATGCAGTCTCAGGTGTTTATTTGATCTAAGAAAGCATTTAGCGGTAAAGTTTGGCCCCAGGCCGGCTGGACTGTGACTGATGGACTCTGAATCTAAACTGCTCCCTTATTGTCTAATTTTTCAGGTAATTTCACAGTCCGTTCCCCAGGTTTGCCGTTTTAGCCGTCAGCCTGGGGTTTTTTCGTATTCCCGCCACATTTCTCCTGCTGTCACGCCCGTTTGATTGGCTTGTAGCCTTCCAGCTTTTCGTTTGGCCTCCATTTCACAGCCTGTTTTACATTTTCCTCCAAAGTCTTGGAGCTGTAAACACATCCAGCTTCTCCAAACGGCTTTATTTTCTGGGCGCTGCTCTTTGGGGTTATTTCTTGCTGGAATATTAAAAAGTTGTGAGGATTTCTGGCCCCGGGCGACTTTTATCTGAAACTGCAACACTGTAGCTTATTGGTTTGGACTTCAAACATTTCCCTATCAGTGTAACAACCTCTGTTTACACGTTTTCTCTCTCATCTTCAGGAACGTGGGTGAACGACGTGCGCCTCCAGCCGGGCGTCCTGTGGGAGCTCTCCGACGGCGACACGCTGACCTTTGGAGGGCATTCGCCTCCGGGGAGCCCAGAGTTCTACTTCCTCTTCCAGAAGGTCAAAGTTCGCCCGCTGGACTTCGATGCCATCACAATCCCAAAGGTAACCACTGATGCTTTCGAGGGAATCAGAGGAGGCAGTAAACTTTCTCAAAGATATTTATAGGAATCATCATGACTACTGATGCATATTATATGGAGGGCCACTCCTGTTTAAATTACAAATAAATTGAAAAATAATTCCGTATTTAAATAAATGAATTAAATGCATAGCTTAAAAATTATCAGGCCATTTAAAGCAGAGAAACTAAAGAGGATTTGTTCAACAACTGATCAAAATTTCAGATATTTATTTTGATAGAAGTCAATCTGTTGAATTTCTCTGAGCTATTATTCTTTTTCTGTCTCTTTTTTTAACCTCACCACTTTTTATTTTTGTTTTATTTACCAGAAAACCAGAAAAATATCTTTTTAGATAATGTTTTTTTTACCTCTATTAATTCACAGACATGAATATATGAATATATATTGATCAGCTGAGATTATTATTATTTTTTTACTACCTCGCTTAATCAGATCCTATGTTTGTCTTTGTTCCCTTTATCTACTGAGCAGCCTTACCTTTTTTTTTTTAAATCACTTTACTGTGAATAAATTCTTATGAACATAAGTATCCTTTGGTTCTCTATATGGTCGGCATCAGACTCCTATGATGGCGAAGGTTGTAAGCTGCATATTTAGACGTGATCCTTCTAGATCTGGGTCTACGATCCGTTGCTCTTTAGACTTATAATAAAGACTTGATAACTTTGGTTAAAAATGATAAAGTAAAGAATAATGACATACTGCAGGATTAAGCAGTATTTCAATGTTCTCACTACTCTCAATTTGCACAACCGGATGACACTAAAATACTAATAATTTATTGTTTGATTTTTATTTTTGAAATGTTTTCCTTGTCATTAGGTTGGTGTGAGGGACCAAACTTAGATAAGGACAAAAGGTGTTAAAAATTTGAAAAAGTACTTTCATCTAATAGTGTCAAAAAAGGTTAACAAAGGCTCAAAAGCAATACAAATTAACTTAAATAATAACATGGATCTGGGCCCAACTTAACTGAGGTCAACTGAGGATCCAACTCAAACAAAAAACTGACCTGCAAACAAAGAACTAAGGCTGATTAAATAGGGATGGAGTAACCCAAGTCTACCACATGAGGGAGGCACGACATAACAAAACAACCAATAAATACAAAATTAACTAAATCATTCTATGAAACAATTAAAGCAAAACTAACTTTTACTTTCCAGAAACAATAAGTGAGTATTTAAGTGACAAACTAACTAATTAAAAACAACTTGAAACAAGTCTCCACTGTCAGTCTTTCAAAAAGCAAATGGTACGCTCCAGGTTTCCTTCTCCAGCTGGTTTGCATCAGCAGCAGCTCAAACAAAAGAACAAGTGTAAATAAACCATTCAGACAGACATTAACTGAAGTGTGCATCCATTAGAAAATACCTGTCTAAACGAAATAACCAACTTAAACATGAACTGTAATATAATATAAAGCAAGAAAAAATACTAACACGATGTGGTGGTGGGAGGATCATCCACCACAGTTGGAAACAATCACTTTTTACTCCACAAATATGAACTTGTACACATTTTAATACTAAACGTGAAAATAAAATGTCAGTTCTTTGAAACTGACTTAAATTTTTCTACAGTTAATATTTATCAGAAAGGATTTTGTCTTTTTGCAGAACATCATGTAACATTTTAGGTTCTAAAGGAGTTTTATTAAACTGGACTGACGACCAGAAAGGTTGTAAAGGTTCCAGACTCCTGTTCTAGATTGTTTTATTCACTTTGTTTAATCTCAAACCTTAAAGCCCCAGTGGATTCATAGGGTCCCACAGCAGGTTGCTGCCACCACCGTGTTTGACAGTTGGTAGCGTGTTCTGAGGTTTTAAACTTCTCCATAGAGACTTTCTATCATTTTAGCCAAACTAGTTTTCATGCCTTTTTTATTCTGAAGGTTTTAGATTTGTCATCTCAGCATCTGTAAACCGTGTTTTCCTTTTTTGTGTTCTTTCCTTGCAGGCAGGAATGTTTTCCTCCGACTTGCAGAACCGGATCAGNGGAATGTTTTCCTCCGACTTGCAGAACCGGATCAGAACCAACTTGGACCGAAAGTCAGTTAAAAACCTGGACCTTTCTGAGATGTCCATCAACCGGGCCACAGTCATCCTGAACTCCATCGGCAGCCTTAGTAAGATGAAGGGCAGTGCCTGGACCTTTAAGCGGAGCCACAGCCATGAGGGAACCGTTTCTGACCCGGGAACCCCGTCCTCCTCCTCCCCTGTGGGCTTCTCCTCCCTGATTCCTCCCTCCACTCCTTCCTTCTCCTCCACCACCTCGGCACCTTTGACCAAACCCCTCCAGACGGCGTCCAGGAGCAGGAGGAAGTCTGCGCACACGGTTCTCCTGGAGGACGACAGCTCAGATGAGCCCAGGAGTCGAGGAGGTAAAGATCAACTGACTTTTTAGACTTGGTAGGAAAGAAAAATTATTTTTAAAAACTATACAGTTCTATTTTCTCCTGCAGCTGTGACAGGAGGAGTGGTGGAGGATGTTCAGAGATCACGACCAAAGAAGAGGCGGAGGCTCTATAGATCTGAGTCGGACGGTTTCAGCTCTCCTGCCCCTCCCCCCGTACAGACTAAGAACCACAGCGACATCCGGCGTCCTCTGGAGGCCAAACCTTTCCCAGTGGGCATCAGAACCATCGGCAGCTTCCACGGCGCCATGACCAACAGCCGGCTGAACCAGCAGCTGCTGCAGTCCTCCTTCACCAGTGTGGTTCCTCGCAGGCAGGGGGAGGTAGAAACCTCGCACCGGGTCAAAACCGTGGTAAACGGAAACATGGCTGCCTTCCGCCAACAGAAAGCCGCCCATGGTACGCCGACAGCGCAGAGGGGCAGGCGGAGGGCCAACAGCTCGCCGGTCTTCTCTCCCCTTGTGGTGGGAGGAGAGAACTACAGCCTGGCGTCGCCCACCGTGAGGATCAGAACCGACGAGAGAGGGAGGGTCCAGTACAACCGATTCCATCATCAGACAGCGTAAGATTTCCTGACATTTGTCCCGTTGCTCAGGGGAGGAAAGAAAACGATCCACTGATCATTTTTTGTAACGCCCCTGTTACACCTTTACCGTTTAGACGTTTGAAACATCTGGCAAAAACTCTGGCATACGTTTGATAGGTCATGGGTACGTTTTGTATAAGTTATGAGCACGATGGCACACGTTGACAAATGGCGAGTACATATCCAGCGTATGGTTATACTTTGCCATAAATTACAGGTCAGTTATTTGATCGTTGACATACCGTAAATTCCGGACTATAGAGCGCACCTGGTTACGAGCCGCACGCTCTAATTTTAGAAAGAAAATCAATTTTGTACTTATATAAGGCGCACCGGATTTTAAGCCGCAGGTTTTCCACGTTGTATGAGATATTTACAAATAAAGATATTACACGTGAGCATTTTTTTAACGTTCGATTTAATCCGTATGATAAAACAAACAAATACGGTACATATTATGAGTGCTTTTTTTTTTTCAAACTACCTGTAACACATTTAAATATGCGTATGTGTCGGTAGCACGCAAATAACGCCGCGTATACCGGCACTTTTAATTGAACATTGCAGCCGACCAGGAAAAGTCATTAATCATTTTCTTCTTCCTCCTGCGCACTAAAACCCTCAAAGTCCTCTTCCTCTGTGTCTGAATGGAACAGCTTCAGGATGCTGTCACTGACTTCAGTCTCATCCTTGTCGCACTCGTGGTCCTCTTCATCCCGCAGCAGCCCGGCCATCCGAAACCCGCCGGTGATGTTGACTGATTTACAAGACTGTAAATAAGTGTGAAAGTGAGAATTATGTATCGCACAATTTCATTGGACCTCTGTGAATACTCATCAATTTTATTGGTCTGTTTTTCTTGCCATGAAAAAAAAACATGTATTAGCCGCACTGCAGTGTTCAAACAGTGGGAAAAAAGTAGCGGCTTATAGTCCGGAATTTACGGTACGTTAAGTATAAGTTACTCATAAGTCATGGCGTCTAGCTTATCCAAAACATATGAGAAACTTGTGCATAACTTATGTGTAACTTAACAAAAACTTATCTCCAACGTATTTGACGTGTTCAAGACGAAAGCTGAACGCGTTTTTAACTCACAGCAACTGTTTAAAGGCGTATTGGCAGCGTTTTGATATAAAAGAGAAACCGTCAATTCTCCTCCAGACTTCATCCCCATCATAGGGTGAGTGTGATGGATCCTTCCTGCGTTCACGGCCATGACCAACAATCTTTCTAGCAGACATGACGCTGAATCTGCTGCAGCTGAAAACCCCCTTTCTTTCTTTTTTATTTTTATTTATTCTTTTGGTGAGTGGTAAACGGCAGCTAGGTGAATACCGCAATCAAAGAAATCTTTTTATGCAGACCGAGCGCCTCGGGTGCATCGCTGCCCCCCTCAGGACACTGGCTTGTGACGTTTCATGGGCTTCATGCTGCCGTGCGTTATGCATAAGTTCGGCTTTCGTCTAACATAAATTCTAAACTCATTATGAATACTCTATGTACGCCCAAGATTGGAAAAATACATAGAAAATTTAGCGTATTTCAGCGTTTTAGAAGATTCTGGGACGACGGCATATGCTGGCTAAATTGTGAAGGTGTCACAGAGGCTTAAACAAATTAACAAGAAATGTCAAAGTTAGTTCATTTGATATTTTCTCAAAGCAATTATTTTGACTTTTGACTTCAGACTCTAAATTGGAAACCTAGAACAAGATTATCACTAAAAATATATTTTCTTATTAACTGAATCATCAAAACTAAAAGAAATAAACACTTAAAATATATTTTCTCTGTATGATGTTGAAGGATTTCTCTCTATTTAGTGCGAATAATAAACTTTTTGTCTCGTTTAATTAAAGTTCCCTTTAGTTTATGCTTCTTTTCTTTGTTTGTTTTTCTCTCTCTGAAGTAAACGGCGCGGTCGGCCCAGAAAACACCCCCTCCCTCCTCGGCCCTCCCTGCCCTCTCCCTCCTCCTCCTCCTCCTCATCCACCTCTTCGGCCTCCTCTTCCTCCGGCTCCTCCTCGTCCTCCTCCGAAGAGGACGATGAAGACGAGGGCGCGGCGGTGAGCGCGGTGGAGCCGTGCGCCGCCCTGCGGTGCCGGCTGCCGCAGCAGGACACGGTGCAGTGGATCCAGTGCGACGTGTGCGACGCCTGGTACCACATAGACTGTCTGCACGTGGACCGCAAGAAGCTGCTGATGGACCCCAACGCCGACTTCCACTGCGGCTGCCGCTGACGGAGACCCGGGGCGCCGCCAGGACTTTTTTTTTACCCTCAAATATTGAACTCCTTTAATTATAAAAAACATGAAATGAAAAGCGGCTCTTCTGCATAAGCAGGCAGTCATGATTCCTTCCCCTCTAAAGCCTGAGATGCTCTCTGAGGCTTCAGGAGAGGAAACTAATGAAATGTCTGCCTGGATGTCATTAGTAGCAGAGGGTTCACTACTGCTGACCAGATCTGCGTTCAGGAAGATTAATGAAATGTTTTTAACAAAATAAACTCCTCTGCAGAGATGGAGGCACCTCAGATGATCAGACATTCCCGGGTGGAAGCAGCGAGCCGCTGCAGCTGCTGAAAGGTCCTCTCAGGACGATCATCAGATGTTTGAGAGCACTTCTGCAGGAGCAGCTGCAGGATTTAAAGAGGATTGGATTTTTTATTAAAATGCAAAGCTGCAGCTGAAATAATAGAAGATAAAAACTAATTGGAGATGCTCTCCTCTGGGTCTGATGGGTCAGGTGTTAATGTCAGAGATTCTTCTCACCTGTTTCTACCTTTACTTCTCCTCACACTACTGAAACTTTAGCCAAAGTTGCTCTGTTTTATCTTGAATGTATACAAACTTCCTCTTATGTCATAATCTTTACTCCACTTTTCTCTTCTGCTAAACTTATCTGGGAGGAAGGTTCGTCTACCAGGGTTTCTTACAAAAAAAAAAAAAAAAAGAGAGAAAATGTTGGAAAAAAAAAAGCATAAGCTTAAAAGAGAAAAATAAAAAAATATATATTTTTAATGTGGCTGCGGATCGAACCGCATCCAGTTCACCGACGTTGATTTTATCTGTTAAATTTTAAAATTCTGTTTCTCAGACAATAAGAAGCAAAATGAAGTTTATATTAATAGTTTGCAGGTTTAAAATCAGCAGATTTTTTTTTTATTATTCCTAAATATCTGTTGAGAATAAATTATTTAGTTGCCAAAAGGCTTAAAACGAATCAGTTTAGTTTCACTAACGTATCAGAAAATAGGTTTTAAATGAGTTGCAATGAACGTTCAGACCTCACTCCAAACGTCTCCGGTCGCTCAGACGGTGCTGAAACACGTCGGTGTTTCTCTTCATCCTCCACTGATCTCACTTTGTTGGTTTGTAGTTGAATGCAGCAGTCGTGTTTTGCTGCATTTTGATTTTTCAGACATATATAAGTATTTCTAGGTGCGCTTAGAGCTGTTATGTAAACGCACCTTCACCTGCAGCTGATTTCTCTCCCTAATGTGGTAAATTTGACTGTTATTGATCCCTTTCTGTTTTTTTTTTTTTTGCCTCCAACATGTTTATAGTCAAAGTTTGAGATGCTGATAAATTGAAGCAGCTGCAGCGTCAACCACAGGAACCACTAACGAGAAAACTGAGTCTTGAAGGATGGTTTCTTCAGAGCAAAGTTGCAGAATGAAGCAGCAAAGGTTTGCAGGTGGATTCCTGGTTTGGTTCAGACGTCTTTGTTAATCCTGAGGCGCTTTATTTTCAGAAATGTATCTGACTGAAGATGTTTTTCTGAATTTAATGAAATTATTGATGAGTTTTGACTATATAAAGTTTTCTGCACAGTTTAAGTTGGTTTAATGTCTCATGCACTTGTTTGTATGATCAGTATTTAAATTCTAGTGCAGAGAAATATTAAGATCAGTGGATCTAAAATGTGTTCAAATCCCAAAAATGACAGAAATAAAAAGTTTTTCCAACACCTGTTTAAACCACAGTTCTGCTCAAATACCAACAAATGAGGGGAAATGTAAAAAAGGTTAAAGAAGGTTCAATGATGGAGTTTGCATGTTCTCCCTGTGCATGTGTGGGTTCTCTCTGGGTACTCCAGCTTCCTCCCACAGTCCAAAAACATGACTGTGAGTTATATTGGCTTCTTTAAAATGTTGTTAGTTGTGAGTGCGAATGGTTGTTTGTTGTCCTGTTTGTCTCTGTGTTGCCCTGCGATGGACTGGCGACCTGTCTGGGGTGGACCCCTCCTTTCACCAGTAGACAGCTGGAGATGGGCACCAGCATCCCTAGCGACTTGAGCAGGGATAACGTGACGGAAAATAGATGATTTATTTTCACACTAAAACTAATACTTTTAATTGAATCTTTAACCACCGTCTTTCAAAATCCATTTATGCTCCAAAAGTTCTCCAAATCCTTCTGATTGTGAGTCTTTTCCACAGTCTCCTTCAGGTCAGCCCACCTACAGCGGGTTTCTGAAAGTTTCAGGTCTGGATTCTGACGCGGCTGAACTTTCCTCTCATTAGGAGTCAAATCAGACTAGAACTTGGAGCCATTTTCTGTTTTCTCCACCTGATGAAATTAAAAATAAATATTCCCACCCCATGATCCTTCCACCACTGTGCGACATGGTCAGTCTCCTAATGTTAAAGATGATTAATTGATTTTTTTTTTAATCCAATTTTTTTTTAAACTGTGATAAAATCCAGTTTAGTTTAATTGGATCCTAACAGGTTCTCCTAACAGATCCTAGGTTTCAGTTTGGTGTAGATCAGGGGTAACCTGACTCCGTCAGATGGATTTGCTCCGCATATCCATCTGGAAACCTTCCGTTGAAGTAATTTTGGGAAGGGGTGAAAATACTGGTTAGCTGATGGGCCTATGTTGGTGATAGACGGGCCAAATAAACCAATCAGATCAACGAAGCATATGACGTACTAACAGAGCGACGACGAAGAGGAGACAATTGATAGATCAAAGTCTCGCCGAAACCAGTCGGGAGAAGAGCAAAAACATCTTTTCCTCTGAGAAAAGCCTCCAGAGCAGTGTTTTGCTCTTCTTTCAGTGAAGAAATACTCTGTAATTCCGATAAAACTTGCCCGATAGCCACACTAACGCTAGCTTCATCGGCTGAAGCCGCCATGTTCTTTAGACTGAACTGTCGCGCTTCTCGTTGCATCATACCTCAACCCGCCTCAAAGCCAACGCTGATTGGACGTTCGTTTGTTGAACGGCTCCAAATTTTAACGGAGAGTCTCCAGACTGATTAGCGAGTGAAACCTTGAAAGCTCGCGAGATCAGGATGGTCTCATGAGGCCAGATCAGGGGTGCTTAAGTCCAGTCCTGAAGAGCTGCCATCCAATAACTTCTAGATGCAGCTCTTCTTTAACACACCTGAATCTAAAGACTCAATCCCCTCATTTAGCCCAGCGAAGGAATGGTAACCAGCCGCTCATTTGATAGGACACATCAAAAAGTTGCAGGATAGCAGCTGTTGAGAAATGGACTTGAGCACCCCTGGTGTAGATGTTTCCTTTGAAGGAGCTCCTTCTGTCTGCAGCCGTCTGTGACCTGCAGAAAACAAGCAGTTATTGGAAACCTCTGATCCATCAGTTCCTGCCTCTTTTGGGCCTTATAAGCCAGATTACATATTTTCTTTTCTCTGCTTGTGGAGATTTATTCAGTTGATTATGACAAACGGTTTGATAATTCTCCCAGATAATTGATGACTTTCTTAATTGTGCCATTTTTATGAGTGACATGAAATCTGTTTTATACTCTACTTCTTAAATTCTTGAATTGAGAAACCTTCCTGGAGAGGTGGCGAAATGTCTTCAAACTTTGGAAACCAAGTCCAGTGGATTTTTTTAACTTTTACGGAATGATCTAGTTCTTAAAGCTTTTACCAGTGTCTCAGCAGCTTTTTTTACTTTAAGTAAAAGATGCAGATGACATGAAAATCCTGAAGGGTCCATTTAAACTGAGATTAAACTCAGGATTTTCTAACATTCATCAGTGCGTCATTTCCAACTTTTCCTTTGTGTTACATTTCCCCTCTGAAAGAGTTTTCCAAATTGAAGTTTACATAGTTTAAACTGTCATTCACCAGGGTTTAATCAGTTTTTACATGTTCTGCATCTTCATAACTGTTAAAGGAGAAAGAAAACTGCTCTTTGAAGCTTTTGGTTGGTTAATCTGCAGATCTGGGATCTAGTTCTTCATTATGGCTGCTTTACAGACTGACGGGTTCTGAGGATTTCTGTGCTGCCATTGCGTCTTTGTGTGTTCAGTTTGTTTGTACCCTCTGAAAATCAGATTTTGTCTCCTGATTTGGTCGAACAGAGCTGCACGTTTGAGGTGACCGCTTTGTTAATGAGCAGCGAATCAAAAGGCTTGTTTTTTTTTTAAATCACTCTGCCTTTGATTGGCTGACTCTGCTGTTCCCCGGCCGGAGCTTTAATCAGCACATTAAACACGCCGGGGATCTCAGTGCAGTTTGACTGTTGGCTTTCTGAGGTTGAACAAAATCAGAAATATCTGAGATGCCACGAGCATCTGAGGAGAAATAAAGATTATTCTGAAAATGTATCTCTCCATTATCTGTCTCTTTTTATCTTCAGAGGCTGAACTTTCCCCCCTCTTCTGCAGAAACATCTATGGAGACAAGGAGGCTGTGATCAAAAGAACATCTCATTTATTATAGATTCCCATCCAGCTCCAGTCAAGATTGATCAAACATTGATATCACTGTTTTTGTTTTCCTCCAGTTCGGTTATTTTTTCCCCCCTCTTTTTAAACCATTTATAATGTTTCTGCTGATTATTTCCTTTGAAGCGTGATCCAACAGGCACAGGCAACATCCTCTTTTTCGAGGCCCATTATCTCCAGCATTTTTTCAGATGGGATAATATTCTCGTTTTCCATGCATGAAGTTAGATCCACTCACAGAATTAGAGTTGAACATGATCACCGCAGGCGCACAAGCAGAAATGGGAGGTTTAATAATTTACACCCATAATGTAGAGCAATGTCATATCTTGCGTTTCCATGTTCAGGGAAAAAAAACTGACATTTAATATCCCTCCAGTCTTACATGATTTCATCAGCTGGAAGTCGGGGAGCTTTGTCCAACTCTGCCTGAAGGACCTCATCCTTTTATTTTCTTAGCTTAGACGAAAACATGAAATTAGGATATGTTATTAAATATCTACATTTAATTATGAACAATTATGACAATAAATATAGACTTCTAATTTTTTTTTTTTCTCGGTATCCTGTAGATGGAGCAGAAAAGAAATATTGTCTTATAAGGTCCTACTTTTTGAAGCATTTCAAAGTCAACCATAGGCAAAATTATGAATTTTTTGCCTTTGGTACTACAGAGTATAAGTCGTTTTTCTTTCAACCTGGTTGAAAAACCTTTCTTCTCTGCGACAATGCCTCAATGCGGGTGCTGCCTATTTAATTGAATCCCCTGACATGGTATCACACCACTTCTGGTGAATAAGTTGCTCTTTAAGAAGAAATAAAGTCTAAAACCCTTGCAGCAGAAAAAACATATTTTCAAAACTATACCATTAACTTAAAAAAAAAAGAACAGTAGCTGTCACTGTGCAGATTAGCTGCTTCGTATGAACTTTATACATAAATTATCTAACCCTGCGTCACATCACCATCTGTTAATCTTAGAAACTTGGTGAATTTTTTATAGGGCAGATGCAGCACAGTCTAGATATACGCTTCCTGGAGGGGGGTGGGGTGGGTGGTTAATGACTGCTCTAGATGTAGAGATGTAGATGTAGAACCGTCATGGCCTTGCATTTTGAAAGGACAGGGCGGGGCTGATGCAAAGAGAAAACCCAACTAAACCTTAAAAGTGTTAAGGAACAATAATTTAAGCTAGTTCAGAAAACCAATGTAGTTGTAATCTTTAATATTACCTAGTTAACTACCAGTACTTTTGGAGGTTTTGAATTCAAGGCTGATTGTTATTTTAATATGTAATTTTAACAATACAGATTGCTGCTAAAGAGCCTTCCAAAATATAGCTATAAAAGTTACACAAATGTAGCTGGAAGTGGTGGAAGTTCTCCATTACAAAACCCAAAGTGTATTAAGGTTTGCACATTAGCATGCATCACACAGAGTACACCGTAAGCAATAATGGATTTTTCTTCAATTCGGTGAGATGAGCTGTGCCTATACTTCCTGCCATGCAAAGGACTCTGGGTAGCAATATAGCTCCTATGTGGAGCATTAGAACTTTGGGAGGTCCCTATGCTAAAGGAACCATTGATAGGAAGCATCCTGGTTCCTTTCCTTACCTCCTTACTGACTGCCAGCACTATTTAGACAGCAGTTTTAATGGGACCGCTGACGTTCCTCTCCCTATGTGTCCTTTCTAATTTATACCATTCAGATGGAACCCCCTTATTCAGATGGGCTCGCTGTCATGGAAAACTCTGTTTACATGTTGAAACTTTCTCTCTCTGGTTCTTTTCCTTAAAAGAGATCACTTTGGACAAACTCTTTAAATGAGAATT